AGAGCCCGCGCCTTCGCAGGCGATTTGGGAACTGCAAACGGCGCCCGGCCCCTTCCGGCGGGGCCTTGAATCAGCTCGCCCGTTGTGAGCTCACATGCTTCCATTTCCCCTGCAGACCCAGCATGGCCGCCCAAGGAGAGCCCCAAGTGCAGTTTAAGGTAAGGGACTGGTTTGTTCTTTAAGTATTTCTTTTTTTTCCTTCAATAGAAAACTAGCAGGAGCGACTCCCGAGTGCCAGCGTGGATGGTAGGTTTGCTTCTGAAGTGCTGGTCTTTAACGGTGCGGTTAGCTTATGGTAGTATTGCATAAGACTTGTACAAAGAAGTTCTGCTGCACTGGGTCAATCTGATGCTATTTGTAGTTTAGCGTAAGACGTTTAAGTGATGCTTTGCCTACAGAATGATTTTTAAATTTCCAAAGTGAACTTCACAGCAGCAAACAAAAAGCTTGTGCTTGCAACAAAGAACAAGCTTAGAGTGAATTAGAATAGTCTGGTTTCTGTTGCCTACTAATTGTATAGGGAAAAACCCTTAAAATAGTTCAGAATGGAGTTTTCTGGTGTTTTGTGTGGGGTTTTTTTGTTGTGTTATCTTAACAGCCAGAAATCCTTAAGACTGCTTCATGAAAGGTTGCTACTTGTGTTTCTTACAGTACTTGGCTAGAGTATTCCAGTTGTTAGTAGTACAGTTGTTTAGGGTTTTTTGTTTTTAATTGCAAGATTACAGTGGGTTTCTCCAATTTGGGTGCTTAAGTGAGTTCCTCTCTAAGTATGGTCACGTTCAGGCTGAACCCCACAATATTCTTAATTCGGTCACTTGTCGTTTAGTAGAACCACATTCACGGTGCAGTGTAGTTTTTTGGCTATAGGAGCTAGGTACGCCTGACCAGAGGCGTAGCATGGGAGGCCTAACAACTTGGGTCCCAGTACAGTGAATTGTTTCATGGGGAATTCAGTGTTTTGTTTACAGCATCTTGTAGGACTAAGGCCTTTGTAGTAATGTACTCTGTACACTTAAATGACTAATAAATGTCTCTAGAATGTATTGCTCTGACTTTTTTTGCCTTTATTTGTCGACAGCTCGTCCTGGTTGGTGATGGTGGCACCGGTAAAACAACATTTGTAAAACGTCATTTGACTGGTGAATTTGAAAAGAAGTATGTAGGTATGTCCAAAGAAGCATTTGAGATCGAATGTGTTAGTTAGAAGTGCAATTCATGACTTGCTAAGTGCACTGCTTTTTCTCATTGCTATAGCAACGCTGGGTGTTGAAGTTCATCCTCTGGTGTTCCATACCAACAGAGGCCCTATTAAATTCAACGTATGGGACACAGCTGGCCAAGAGAAATTTGGTGGCCTGCGAGATGGCTATTACATCCAAGGTAAGAAGTTTGTATGTGTGGGAATACTCTGTACCTCTTAAAGTTCAGTCTTGCATTCTGTTTGCATTGGCCTCTCTGGAGGTGGTCAGTGTGGCTGGCAGCAATGAGCTGGCTTCTGGTCTTCAAACTCTTCATGTAAACATGATTTCCTTTGCTAGGCAGCTTGGGCTGATGTACGAATATTCTAAGATGGTCTTTCAGTATGCTGTTGCAGGCTTTGCTATTAATGAAGAGTAACGGTGCACCTTAAATCACAAGATATTGCTGATGAAATTCAGTAGTGAAGAGGTGAAAGTGTGTGCTTCAGCTGTATACAGATTTCTATCTGTATTAACATACTGTGCTGAGGCAAGGATTTGGAACACAAACTGCAACATTTTAGATACGATGATGAAGTTGTACATCTCCATGCCAGAGTCTAGTTCTCTTCCTGAAGAAGTACTGATAGTGTCCCTTAACTTCTGCTTGGCCAAGCTCTGTTCTTTGTGTACTCCAGTCACCTGCATATCTTTTAAAATTTGGCAAGGGATTATTAGAGTTTGATATTGTTGCTTTTCCTTTAGAAGTATCAGGATCAAGTCAAGCCTCCATGTTCTTTGAAAAACTGTTCTGGACAAGGGCATCCTGAGATGTGGACTAGAAGCACTCAACCTACCTGAAAGCCTCGATAGGATGTCCGAGATTAGTTAAATAGGTGTTAACTAACTTCTGTCAAATATTTGTGTAAATCAGAGTTGACTTTTGTAATCCCTGTGTATTCTCAGGCCATGCAACACCATGTTACTCAGTGGGACAGTTGCATTGATAAAAGCAGCTGATGTTTAAGATTGGGCACTAAAGATGTGAGATGATGCGACTGTGGGCTGATTGTGAACAGAACACGGGCTCTCAGAACTGTGAAACTGAGAGGGGAAAAAGTTAACACGGGCACTTAACCCTAATGTGGGATTTCTGTGGGTACCTCTTCTCCCATCTTACAAGCAAGTGCTTAGTCTCCTGATGTAACTCTTGACTGTTTTCTTGCAGCTCAGTGTGCCATCATAATGTTTGATGTAACATCAAGAGTTACTTACAAGAATGTACCTAATTGGCACAGAGATCTGGTACGAGTATGTGAAAACATCCCTATAGTGTTGTGTGGCAACAAAGTGGATATTAAGGACAGAAAAGTCAAGGCAAAATCCATTGTCTTCCACAGGAAGAAGAATCTCCAGGTATGTTGGCATGAGTTTGTAGGAATCAAATTGGGGTCTGACTGCGGTTGGGTTCTAGGCAGTAATCCAGTGTTCTGCCTCTCATACAGGCTATAATATTTCAACTTTACCTACTGTTGGCTGCTTGAACCTAACTTCGGGGAAGCGGGGGTGGGGGTGGGGGGTGATGTTAAAGATGATCATCGCTGGTCTTGAGCAGAAGCTATGATAAGCTCTTAAAGAGCTTGCGTGCATTTTGCTTTCACTGCTCAGAATCTCGTGACACAGAACTGAGACTACAGTAGATCAAGTCCCAGGAAAAGAACAGATGCATTGTTGCCCCCTGAAAATTCCATCTCTGATCAGATTGGATACCTTAACTTTTCAATTATCAATTTCTACCTATTTGCCTGAAACTGTATGTTTCTAGACACTTAGGTCAGTACTATTTCTGAGAGCATAACAGAAGTTATGTGGTCAAAAAGAATACAAAAGTAAAGAGCTGATTATGTGCGTGTTCATCTTCGTATGCCCTACATATGTTAGAGGTGTCTTGTGGTTTGGGGTGTCTTTAATCATGTGTAATATGGTTTGGTTTTTTTGCAGTATTATGACATTTCAGCTAAGAGTAACTACAACTTTGAGAAGCCTTTCCTCTGGCTTGCTAGAAAGCTAATTGGAGATCCTAACTTGGAGTTTGTTGCCATGCCTGCTCTTGCACCACCTGAAGTTGTTATGGACCCAGCACTGGCAGCACAGTATGAGCAAGACTTACAGGTCAGTGAGAAAGGGCTCAAAAGATCAAACGATTGCCTGATAACCAGCATTTGGGCTCCTGGGGCAAATAACTGCAGAACAGTTCTTAAGTGTGACTTCTTTGTTGCAGATTGCTCAAACCACTGCACTGCCAGATGAAGATGATGACCTGTGAAGGGATGAAGCTGGAGCCCAGCGTCAGAAGTCTAGTTTTATAGGCAACTGTCCTGTGATGTCAGTGGTGCAGCGTGTTTGCCACTTTATTATCTAGCTGAGCAGAACATGTGCTTAATCTTTGGGATGCTGAAAGAGATGAATGGGCTTCGGAGTGAATGTGGCAGTTTAAAAAAAAAAAACCAAAAACAAACAAAACAATGAAAAAAAAAACAAAACAAAAAACTTCATATTTTGGACCTGCATATTTAGCTGTTTTTTGGACTGCAATTACTTCCCCTTTTGAGTTTCAAATATAAGACTGCTGCAGTCACATCAGAGTGTTAAGTGGTAAATCTTGTTTCTGTCATTCCCATTCTCTTTTGTTTAGATAATAAAGTTGTATTTCAAGTATCTCTAAGCAAGTGAACTTTCATGCATTGTTAGGACAACTCTTCCAAGTGTTTTCTGTTCTTCAGTTGAGGCCAATGCTTGGTTGTCTCCTGCATTTCTCATTCTCTGTTCCTTTCCCTCTTGCTTCTCATGTTAGGCTCCTCTTGTGCAATTGGAGCTAACAGTTAACCTTCCCTTGATTTCCTGAAGCATATAATTAAAGCACCTGAGGAAAGCTGAACTAACTGCCAGGTAAAACTAAAGCAGTGAACACTTGACTGGTAAGTGTGACTGGAGCAGCGTTCCCACGCAAATGGGAATGTTTGTGGTCTGCAGGGTGTCTTGAGAGAAAAGTGTGTAGTTCAGCTTGCATATGCTACTGTTAGATACAGTCTCTCAACTCTAACTTTTAATAAGTTCTACAACATGCCTTCACAGAGCTCTGGTTTTTTTTTTTTTTAGTAGCTCCAGAAACAAATGGCATCTAGGTCTGTTTAGGTGACTTAAGCTGTATCTTTGCATGGAATGTCATTCAGTAGAGCTGTAGCTGATTAAATAAACTCTCTCTAAGCATCTTAAAATTCACTAATTAGAAAACAGCTGTAGTTGAGCTAAAAAGCTCTTGGCTACAAACCAGTGTCTTAACTAAACCCACAGTTATATAAATACCTAGACTTTACTGTAACTGCACCAAGTTCTTAATTTGAAACTCTAGCTTATTACAGCACAAATGGTGGAAAAAGTCAACTTTTAACACTATCTTGTAGAGGCTAATCTTGGTCAATATTAGTACTGCTAGTAAACAAAACTATAAGTTTAAGATACCATTTATCAGTAGTGTTTGAGTACATGAAGCCTTGAACTCTTCAGTTTTGTATTTTTGGTTTCCTAATAAAGTGGAGCATTTCATTTATTCCTTTTAACTTGCATGTTTGTGTACATAACTCCTACTTGACTATTTATAACTATTCAACTATTTTGATACATAGGAGCAAAAAGTGTGGACTATGATTATTACTTATGCAATACCGTTGTAAAGGAATCATGTTTAAGTGAGCGCAAGTTGGAGTTCTGTGGTTTACTGTTGCGTGTGGGGTTTTCTTTTAGCTGGTCAATGAGAAGCTGAGTTGTGGTGCTTAGGACCTGAAGCTTATTAATGAAAATAAGGAATGTCATACACTTGGCTTGTTAAAAGTCAAACTCCCACTTTAACATTCCATTGAATCTTCTTGCTGCGTCATCTTGCTTTAACTTCATATTGTAGGTTCTTGCCTGTAGTGTTTACTAATTCACCTGTGCAACATCTTGGTTAATACTGCTAGCTTGGCTTCTGCTGCTGCTTTACTAGGTGTGGTAGCTGTTTTGTCTTTAAGCTGTCTCGCTGCTTAAACACAAATTGATTTAGAAAACTTCAGGAGTTCTGTGGTATTTATATGCCTTAAGAAGAAAAACCAGCAGCACTGAAGTTACGTTTGTATTGTTTCATAGTGTGTGTATGGTGTCATCTTTACAACTCGCACCCTGCACACAGGTACTAGCCTTAGTATGAATTCCTACAAAACAGCTGAGAAGACTTACGAAGAGTGAAATAGCGGTTATACTAGTCTTTAAACAGCTATGAGCTTTGCTTTGGAGTCTTCAGTGTTACTTCCAAGTCTGCAAAAACTCGTCTCGGAAATAGTAATACTAGTCCTGCTGTAAAGTCATCTCTTCAACTGGAAATGGTTTGTGAGCGGAATGAAGTCCGCTTGTTGCAGTGTTAGACTTGGTTTGTCACATCCAGTCCCTGTTAATTGGTGATTATAAATAATGCAGATAGTCTTAATATGCATGTGCAGATTCCCCAGTTGAAGTTCGTTAACTATAATGCTTCTAGGAAGTTTTTCACTAGTTGGGTTTAGGCAAAATAAAATTTTAATCTATTTAGTCAAGTAATAAGGCAAATAAAACTTGGGTTCTAAGAACCGCTGTACTAAATAGTCACATCAGTCTGTATTGGAGCTCTGCCATTATCAGGGCTGAATGGACAAGACTGCAATCCTTTGTTGCAATACCTACTCTGTTCTACTTGACTGCTGGAGGGTTAGATCAGATGAATTGTAGGAGTTCTTGCGTTGCCTACACGCTGTTTGAGTTTTCCCACACTAAGGTCTCTGGTTTCAGATTGTTTTTTTTTTTAGTAACTTGTCATTGCAGACCATGCTCGGCTCTGTCAAAAGCGGGACGAGGTGCTGGCCCACTTACTGTTCCTAGTTCCATGAAGAAGCTGTGAGTTTTTAAGTGTCCAAGCCCAGAGGATTGTGTTAGAGTAGTTGGAAAACCAGTGCATGCGCAAAATAGGTAAGGCAAAAGCATTAGCTCAAGAAACTGGCACAGGAAATGTTTTGCTGCTTCTCAGTGAATGCTTAAATGAAGGACTGTTAAAGGCTGCCTTGCGAAAGCTGGTGTTGCCCTTGGATCTCCTAGGATTTCAACAGAGAATCTTTTAGAAACATCGGAGAACGCTTCTCTGCTACAACTGGAAGTCTGTATGCCAAGACGGCTGAAGTCTGCCCCTCTTAGGCTGCCAGTTACAGTACAACAAAACTTGTCTTTTTCTGTTAGAAATGGTTCGGTTGTGTTGCTAATACAGTCTTTAGTCTAAACTAGTGGAGAAAACAGTGCTGAGGGAAATTGTTCTGCCTTCACCTTCCTGAACCAGAAATACCTGGTTTGGTTGCAGCCAGTTGCTTTCCTGACCTGAATCAGTAGTACTGGGTACTTCCTCTCACCTGTGTTTTGGCAAGAGTTGATGGGGCACTTTTAAACCTGCATTGATAGCAGTGTCTCACAAGTAACTGAAAAGCTAAATCTGCTGCTGCTTGGATCAGTTTTTCACATGGGTGCATTGATTTAGGCTGGTTTCATGTGTGTGTGTTGGTGTTTGCACTGACAAGACAAGTTCGCTTTCAAAAGGAATCTTTTTCCTAGCACAGGCTGCTATATGGGCATCACATGAAGGAGTTCTTCCTTGCATGTGTCCTGTAACACTTCTCATTATCTCTGCAGGTGGCCAAAATCAGGAAACATTTGAAGCTGGGGACTTGTGTTGGGAGAACAAGAATGGCTGTGCTGTCCTAGGCCAGCAGCTTTTTCAGACAACACCCAGGTCACAACACTCTGGAAACACCTGTAGGGATCTTCAGTCTTCATTGCCCTCTGGCTTGTTGGTAACTGTCCTTGTGCTGCAAGCTGTTGCCTTCCCAGTAAAGAGGGCGAAAAAAGACTGATTCCTCTTTCTGATTTAGAGCTAGAGCTCACTCAGCTGCCTGACAAATAATGTAAAGCTAAATGTGGAAGAATTTTATGTTTGAAAGGAAGGCTTGATATGATAACCTGTTTAACAGAGGTAGTGGGACTTACTGATGTGCCAAACCATAGCCTCTTCATATAGCTAGTTAGTGAATAATTGTAGCGATGTCAAAACATAAGGCATGCTATTTATACCAAGGCCTATACTGAGCCTAAACTTTCTTATCTTACAGATTTGAGTGTACAAGGCAAATAATGCTAATTGGGTTGTGCGGGTAATTCTCTTCCAGTTCACCAAGTGAACAGACTGGTCAAGGAGTGAATGACACTTCCCCAAAATGCTGGCATTCTACGAGCTGCATGGCTGAAATGGGCCAACGTTCATCTTGGGGTACTAGTTCAGTGCAGGAAAAGGTTGTTTGAATTTTGTTTTGGGTAGTCATAGTTGATATCTGTCTTGCTGTGATTGTGGAATTCTGTGATTAAGAAGAATCAGATTCCCATATTTCTACTGCTTGCTCAAGGGGAAAAAATGAGAATCTGAGGACAAATGCCACCAAATAATGCTATAAACAGCATTTTGTATTTTACATGGCACTAAAAAAGTTTTAATGTTTGATCCGCTATCTCTGAAGTCATTGTTTTAATACATGTAATGCAAACATTCAAAATAGAATTTCATCAATAGTTCCAGGTTACTAGAAGGCAGTGAGCTTGGTTTACTGTCACCTATTTCCATGTTGACACTTGACTAATAAGGACTGAAAAGGGCAGCTAAAACAAAACCCCTGTAAGTGTAAAGTAGTCATAAACAGGAAGCTCGTAAGGTTGTTGTGATCAATAACATCTAAGAAGAAAACTTTAACTGGTGTCCTTCCTGTTATGATTGTCTAAGTGGCAAAATCGCCGACTATACCCTGAAGCATCAGGATCGTTCTTGATAGAGCTACTTAAGTCTCCTGTAGCAAGCATTAAGCTAAAGATAGCAAATTGAGTGGCTAATACAAATGGTTCTCGTTGGCTTTGAACATCTATTTCAGGTAAGAGTTAGCTGGCGTGAGCCAGTTCCGCAGTCCCATTTCCCAGTTGTAACACCAGTTCCTGTGGCTGCTACTTTAAGCTTTTTGCTACACAAAACCAGCGGTAACTTGCTGATGACTTTTTCACATCTTGGTGGCTTTTGCAAATAGTACTGGAGGGAAACGATGTGTGTCTTGCTTTTACTGAGAATATAAAAGGAAGTCAACTTTCCTGTCAGGCTTTTTTGATGCATTACATCATAAAAAAAAAAAAAGTTAAAATTTCCAGATCTCAGGTTGGGTTTGCAGGTCAAGTTCTCAAGCCAAAGAGGTTTGTTCCACTTATAAATAAAAACGTGGGTCATAATAAACAAGAAACCCCTGCCTGCATTTTTGGGCATTAATCATTGCCTCTTGATTCTGGATCTAGTATTTTTATTTCTTATTTGGGTCCAGATGTTTTGTTGTACTCGAATACCTACATTGATGTCTCGTTGTAAGACTTACTTCAAACTATAGCAGACGAGTACAGTAACTCTTCCAAGATTATGTGTTTGAGATGCATCAGTCAGAAGTGCAGAAGTTGTTGCTGGGTGTGTGAGGCTTAAACCAGGTGAGAATAGCTCGTAGCTCGCTAGCTGAACAAGTCTCATGGAGCTTAAAAAGAAAAAAAAAAGCTTTGTTATGGAGACTGAGTGGTTACTGCATAATTCTT